TGTTTTGTCCAGGACCTGCGGAGTTCGTTGAACTTAGCAAAGGCGAGAAAAGATGTTCGTGTGGGCGTGTCTGTGTGGAGTCTTATTGCAGCCTCTTCGTTGTCTAGAGCCACTATAATGTGCCGTGCGAACATAGAGAAGGGGTTCCGTAGCGCTGCCTCGAGACCGGCAACTGCTGCAAGCACTTCGGCATCAAAGACCTCAGCGGTATGTTAACTATTAGTTAACTAACAGGTCCCTAACTAACTACCCAATCACGTGACTCATCGTAGTGCCTCTAAGCTCACATTTCATCTCAATCTCTCAGAAATTGAGTCTATAACCTGATTAAATGATCTTCCAAGCTCAAGGATTTGATCAGATTATCACGGCCTGTGAATATGAAATAGTCAATACTGCTATTATGAAGAAGCAATATCAGGATATATTTGCCGTGAAATGAGAGAGAGAGAGAGAAGCAAAAAAGTGTACAAGGTTCTAGCGGTAGAGTTCAACGCAAAGGGAAGAAGCTCAGGATGAGCCCGTTGAACCAACCAGCCAGTCAAAGCACCTGAGCCTCAACCTTCTACACTCACACCATGCTGACGGGCTCCACAAAATGCTTTGCATCAATTGCAATAGTTGCTCTTGAGCATACAAGATTAAGATGTTCTCAACCACGTGTAAGTTACTTTAATTTAATTGAGCGTTGTTGTGTAGGGATAATTCGAATTCAACTCTAGTTAGTTAGTTGCGCTTTGGTGGTCTTGGTGATTCACTCGGTGGAAGGCGGCAATAGCATTCCTGAAGATCAAGTTCTCGGGTAACCAACTATGGCGGGTCAGGGTTGGTAGCGGGACAGCCGTGAAATTCCACTAGGAAGCCTGCTGTTTTTAACTGAGTGGCCTCCCCCTGAGGGATCAAACCCGGTGATGGACACCACCATTTTCCGGTATTATGGCCTCTATGGCTTCCCCCGGGCGGATCAATACCCGGGGGAAGACCACTATTCTTGGGCGATGGGGCCTCCCTTATGAACTCTAAACACTGACTTCGTATGATTGTCGTTTTTGCTAGTAACACATGCAGTATAACTGTGGTCATTTTTGTGCCTCAGCAGCCGTTCTATAGCTGTGGCTGTTTTTATGTGTGGTCGTTTTATGCCTGTGGTTTTCTTATTTAATTGTCAGTCGTTTCAGCAGTCTTCTGTCAGGATATATAGATGTGTTACTAGTAGATATCTTCTTTTTCTTTTAGAAGCAATACAGCATCCTCTGAGCATTAGTTACATTTATGTGCTTCTTGTTTGACATCACTTTGGTATTATCTTGTTCTTCACGTAGCGTCAAGAATCATTGCTCTTAAATTTGCTATCTCTGGCTTGGAATTCAAGTTTAGAGACCAAGAGCAAGGTTACAAGCAAGTCATTAGTGTCATCTAGCCCCAGCATGACCACCTCTCATCCCACTATTTCCGATCGCCCTTTTGCCATACCAACATGACCTCAATCCCACGAGACTACACAGTGAGTGTAGCCAATTCCAACAATTCAATTGGCCTCCTATCTGACCACCTCGCAGGCCGTCTTTTCAGCATCATTGGCTCTAGCCAACATCTTCTCCGTGACGCATTTACCCATGTTGTTGCTCTTCATACTGCTTACAAGCATGCTGTGGGCCATATCCGCTTCTTGAAGGCAAGTTCCCGGGCCTACATTGCTGGATGAGTCTGCTGAATTTGTAGGCCTTCTGCGAACTCTTTCAACTGTGGTCATTCCTTATGAACTTCCATACCAACATATTCATGGTGAGATTGATGACGATTAGATAGCCCCAGAAGTATTCCCAGGCATGCAGCGAGACTACCGCTTGATAGATACGAACAAAACGTCAAGAATCTGTCTGATTTTGCTGCGAAAATGTCAATTCATTATAGCTCAAGTTCCCGGTAGGGACTGACATCAAAAATACGTTGGTTCTATCCAGGAATAATCCCCTAGGGGAGACACATGCCTTCCATGGTTCATCTCCTTGAAGACACGGTATTAAAATTGTGGTCCCACCAATGGAATAATCCCCAGGGGAGACAAGTATCAAAATTATGCGGTTTGAATATGAAGAGCCGACCCGATTCCCCGGAATACTGTGCAAACATCTTAAGGTTTTCTTCTGTTGGTGTATATAGAAGCCATTGATTGAAGCTGCCAGCAGAGATCTGTTGCTGCGTTCAGTTGCAGGTCACGCCTTTCCCAGCCGCTGATTACTGGGGTAAAATATACCAACATCACCTTGAAATGGCGGCCAGGATCCGGTTTGCTCACAGTGTTCACCAACGCCCGCGGATTCAGACAGCGCTGGAATCATGAACCTACTGCATTGACATTGCGTCAACACAAACAGCAGAACAGAGACTACTGTGAAACTAGACAGGTTTTTTGAGGGATGATACTAACCTAAGGGAGACGCAAGTAACAGACAGAACTGATAAGAGGATGGTAGAACAAGCAACTATCAGATGGCTTCTGATAGCTCTCTTTTACGAAAATCTAGTGAAATAAGGCTCATATGCAATGCTGGACGGAAACGATGATGAGTATACTCTAACCAAAACTGGCTGCATGGTCAGAGCCCCCCTTCTCTGTCCGCCGACCGGAGTCATCCATTTTCTGCCATTTAAGAATAAAATTAATAGATATTAAATTTAAGTATTATTTTTATTCTTTATATTTTTTTTGGATTTATTATTATCATCTTTAAATCATTTATATATTTTAATTTTCTGTTTTCTTCTATTTGATTTTATAAGTTTTATTATTTTAAGTATTTTTATTAATTTTTATAAAATTAAAACTATATAAACTTGTTTTTTATTATATATTTATTTAAATATTATTTTATTTTGAGATAATATATTATAATTATATATTATATCTAAAAAATAAT